CTCCATCAGAGCTGTACAGCTACACCGAGGAGCCTGAGCTCAGCACCAACAGGAGATGCTTCGAAGAGGATTTTCACGCTCAAGGTACCAACTCTGGGCTCCGCACCCCGGGTTTTGGGGCAGCCACCCCCCGGGTAAGAGCGGGACCCCTAGGGAGGCACCCGGCTGGTTGTCGTGTCCCCTTTCCAGTGCAGGGCAGGAGGTGGCTGGAGCTGGACGGGGCTCAGCAGAAGGCCTACGTCATGCGCCTGCTGGATGGGCTGGAGGTGGTCAACAGGGACAAGCGGCTCAAAGTAGCACGGGCCATCCTCTACCTGGCACAGGGTAAGGACCACATGCCCCATGTCTGAATGTGACCACATATCTGCTTCCTGGCTTCATGAGGGTTTGGAAGAAGCCTTCTCTTGGGGTTGCACCAGGTCGGTGCAATGAAGGTTCTTCCCGGCTGCTCCCGTGTGCTCCAGGGCTTCAAAGGCAGCTCCCTCCTAACCAGTGCCTCCCTTTGGGCATCTCCAGGCATCTTTGGAGACTGCGATAATGAAGGTGATGTCCTGCACTGGTCTCGGCACAACAGCTTCCTCCTGTACCAGCTGGGAACCTTCACCGCCTTCCTGGAGCTCCTCAACATGGAGATCGAGTGAGAGGACCCGCACTGCCTTCATCCTCCTTGCCCTCCTTGTCCTCTTCATCTTATTCTTTCTCCTTGCCCTCCTCACCCTCCTCTTCATCTTCTTTCTCCCCATCCTTCTTGCCCTCTTCTTCCATCATCCTTACCCTCCTCTTCATCTTCTTCTTAGGATCATACAATCATTTAGGTTGGAAAAGACCTTTAAGATCATCCAGTCCAACTGTTAACCCAGTACTGACAAGTCCACCACTAAACCATGTCCCTGAGCACCACATCTACACGTTTTTTAAATACCTCCAAGTCCAATGCTTGACAACCCTTTCAGTGAAGAAATTTTTCCTAGTGTCCAATCTAAACCTCCCCTGGCACAACCCGAGGCCATTTCCTCTCGTCTTATCACTTGTTACTTGGGAGAAGAGACCGACCCCCCCTGGCTACAACCTCCTTTCAGGTAGTTGTAGAGAGCGATCAGGTCTCCCCTCAGCCTCCTTTTCTCCAGGCTAAACACCCCCAGTTCCCTCAGCTGCTCCCATCAGACTTGTGCTCCAGACCCTTCACCCTTCATTGCCCTTCTCTGGACATGCTCCAGCACCTCAATGTCCTTCTTGTAGTGAGGGGCCCAAAACTGAACACAGCACTCGAGGTGCGGCCTCACCAGTGCCGAGTACAGGTGGACGGTCACTGCCCTGGTCCTGCTGGCCACACCATTTCTGATACAAGCCAGGATGCTGTTGGCTGCCTTGGCCACCTGGGCACGCTGCTGGCTCATATCCTGCCGGCTGTCCCCGCAGCTTTCCAGACACTCTTCCCCAAGGCTGTACTGCCCCATCCTCCTCACCATTTTCTTCCATCCTCATCACCCTCCTCTTCTTTGTCTTCTTCTTCCCCATCCTCCTCACCCTCTTCTTCCATCCTCCTCATCCTCCTCCTCTTCATCTTCTTTGTACCTATCCTTCTTGCCTTCTTCTTCTCTCTCCTTCCTCCTTCTCTTCTTCCTTCTCCTCTCCAAGGACCAGGGAGGTGCTGCAGCCACAGCACGTCCCCCAACGCGGTGTTTCCACCGCCGCAGATGTAGGCTGGGGGGCGGGGCGCCCGGTGGCTGGCACTGAGCTCGTCCCCTTCCCCGCAGCAACAGCCAGGCCTGCAGCAGCGCCCTGAGGAAGCCGGCCATCTCGCTAGCCGACAGCACGGAGCTCAGGTACCCCCTCTCTTACCCCACTTGCACGTCAGGTGGAGGCTGTGGGACAGCCGCTGGGGACAAAGTGGCCTCTGCCTGGCAGCGTCACCTCCCTGCCATGCTGTCCCGGCAGGGTGCTGCTCAGTGTCATGTATCTGATGGTGGAGAACGTCCGTGTGGAGCAGGAGGCAGATCCCCCCGAGTGGAAAACCTGCCGGGAGACCTTCAGGATGGAGCTGAGTGAGCCACAAAGTTCATTGTGCCCTAACGAGGTCCCTTCATTGTGCTGGACTGGTGGGGAGACCTCAGGGGTGGGGGATCTGCTCTGAACCTGCTCCTGGTCCCTCTCTCCACCAGGTTTCCCCGTGCACGCTGAAGAGCCGTTTGCTCTTCTGCTCTTCACAATGGTGACCAAGTTCTGCAGTGGCCATGCTCCACACTTCCCCATGAAAAAGGTTCTGCTCCTGCTCTGGAAGGTGCTTCTGGTGGGTGCAAACCCTTCCTTCTTCCAGAAACTGGTCATTTTGGGAATAGTGCTGATGCAGCCTGGATGTTCCCCACAATTCAGTCCAACATTAACGAGGTTATTTAGGATGGCACAGGACGTTGACACAAGGCAGACAGTTTCTTCTGGGATGAGGGTGGGCTGAGCCATGCAGAGGACATGGGGTGGAGGAGAAGTCTGGAGGACGAACCAGTGGCTTCATCCTCAACTCTCCATTTTGATGGCCTCAAACTGCTGCTCCTCTGGAAGCCCAGAAGAGCCATGCAGTCCAGGTGGGATGGCTGCTCCCCGCTTTCTGACTTCTCTTGTTGGTCCCTAGTTCACGTTGGGTGGATTTGAAGCCCTGCAGGCAATGAAAGTGAGGAAGCGGGAGGAGCTGGGGCTGCCGCCCTTGCCGGAAGACAGCATTCAGGTGATGCGGAGCATGCGTGCCGCTTCGCCTCCCACCTACTCCATCGAGCTTATGGACCAGCAGCAGCAGAAGCGTGGTCACCGCAGCCGGAGGGTAAGAGCGGGTGCATCTTTCTGGTGCATGGCCCAGGATGCTTTTCCAATGGGAACCATCTAAATGGATATTTCCAACCTTTCCATGGTTTGGGTTGGAAGGGACCTTAAAGATCATCTAATTCAACCCTCTGCCATGGGCAGGGACACCCTCCACTAGCCCAGGTTGCCCAAAGCCCCATCCAACCTGGCCTTGAATGGGCCAGGGATGGGGCATCTACTACCTCTCTGGGCAACCTCTGCCAGTGTCTCACCACCCTCATCGTAAAAAATTTCTTCCTTATCTAGTCTGAATCCTCCCTCTTTTAGTTTAAAACCATTACCCCTTGTCCTGTCCCAGCAGGCCCTGCTAAAAAGTCTGTCCCCATCTTCCTCATCACCCCCCTTCAGGGACTGGAAGGGGCTGTAAGGTCTCCCCAGAACCTTCTCTTCTCCAGGCTGAACAACCCCAACTCTCTCAGCCTGTCTCCATAGCAGAGGTGCTCCAGCCCTCGCATCATCTCCATGGCCTCCTCTGGACTCGCTCCAACAGCTCCATGTCCTTCTTGTCCTGGGGACCCCAGAGCTGGACGCAGCACTGCAGGGGGGTCTCACCAGAGCCGAGTAGAGGGGCAGAATCCCCTCCCTCAACCTGCTGCTCACGCTGCTGGTGATGCAGCCCAGGACACAGCTTTCTGGCTGCAAGCGCTCATTGCCGGGTCATGTCCGGCTTTTCATCCACCAGTTTCAGTTGTAGCAGATCAGCCCTGCGATGCGCTTGATCCGGAGGAAACGAGAGGACATCCTGACCCTGTGGCAGAGGGCTGATAAGCAAAGGAGCAAACTGCTCACAGCAAGCTTGTCTTTTTTAGCTCCACTCTTGGAGCTGTTGTGTTATGGTCCGAGGATGAAAATGCCTCTTTTGCTAGAGGATGGTAGCTCCAAAAGTTAAGATGGAAAATGGGGTCACACCTCCTAGAGCAGCAAGCTTAGAGGTACAGAGCAGGCTGTTTCTTGTCCAGGCTCTGGTGGCAACAGCTAGGAAGCAAGTCCTCACCCAACTCCTCACCTGAGGAACATCTGGGAGCTTGATCCTTCCAGGATGGAGGGGTCTGGTGCCAGCAGCTGGGAGGGAAAGGAAATCCATGAAGTGACTTGAATTTCTTCTTGCCCTTCTGCTGCAGCCCCTGGTGAAGCAAGACAGTTTGGATATATACAATGAGAGAGACCCCTTCAAGAATGATGAAGCAGGAGTCGATGAAGAGGAAAACGATGATGTGGACAGCGGGATCGAGGGGGAACTGGACCTGATGGAGCGGGACACGATTATCCCCGCCATGCCTGCTCAGCGCCCACCTATCGAAAGGGTGTCATTCCCCAAAGGGCTCCCCTGGGCCCCCAAAGTCAGGTAAATCCATCTGGTTTCATTGCTGTCCTCCCCAGTCCTACCTGTCCTGGAGTTGACTGCATGCTGAACATCAGACTGTGGCAAGTTTGTTGGCCTCTGGCACGTTCAACTGAAGTGACTCCAGTTCTTTTTTGTGTCTCAGTTGGTCCTTTCTGGATTGGGTTTAGCTGAACCCTTCCCCAGGCTTTACAAACCAAGCATCGCCAAGCTTGGCCAATAAGTGGCAATCCCATTTTGGACATCCCAGTTTGTACTGGGAAGGAGGCTTGTGCTGGAGTGCTGTGGGAGCAGGGTCAGCTTTCCCAGCCGGCACCAATGCGTCTCAGTAGGGCAGGGTCCCAGACTAATCATCCTGGGAACTGGTTAATGGCATCGCCTCTTGCTTTTTGAGTGGGACTCTTGTGTTGCCAGATGAAGGCTTCTTGAATGGTCTTGCTCTAAGGTAAGAAATTGGAGAAAACCATCTGGGGATGAAGAACTTGGTGCCTTCCCTTCCTAAGGCCAGTTCTGCTACATAAGATATAGGGGAAGGATTAGGAAAAAAGGGTGAAATCCTCTGTCCCCCTCCCTCTCATCTGTAGGAGGTTTATTGTTCTGAAGCCTGGATTTAATCCGCTATCTTTAAATCACAGGAGCAAATACATCTTTTCGATGTGGGAGCAGTGACAGGGTTAAGCGTGTCTATGCAGAGCACTCCTCGCACGGACACGGCAAGAATCGGTTTCCCACGTGGGTCTCCGCACACGCGGTGCCGTTGTACTCCATGAAACTTAATGCTCTCAGCTTCGAAATCAAATGATTGTTTTTCTTGGCTGGTGCCTGGAAATCCAGCTGGGTTTCTTTCTGCCTGCGAGAGCCTTGGCTCACGGTTCATGTCCTACTTGTAGTGCTGAGACCCTGACCAGTTCTCATGAAAGATGCCCAAGGTGGACAAGATGTCAGCTTGCTCCCTCAGACCAGCACGTGCTCCGCCAGACCACGGAGACAACATTTGTTCGCTCAGAGCGAGCAGATGCTACTTGAAGATGCATATGCTAGGAGCACAGAGGGTGGATAAAAAGATGCTGCTTGTAGAGAAGTCCTCTCCATTTATTTGCACGCTCCCGTAGAGTTGCACAGCAGATACAAATGGTTTTGGTTCGTGTTGCTCCCAACCAATGAGAGCAATGGTGGCTCTAGCCTGCTGCTATTAAGACCTCTAGAAGTGAATCCTAGAAAGCTCAAAGGTTCTTGCTGGTCCCACACTGCTATCCTTTCTGAGCAACGTGGGCTGTGATCTAGCATATGTCTATTTTCCAGCCTCCTCCTTATTTTTGTTTCTCTGCTGCTCCATCAGACAGAAAGACATCGAGCATTTCCTGGAAGCAAGCAGGAACAAATTCATCGGATTCACGCTGGGACAGTGAGTGTTACACGTGTAGGTCTGACAAAGTCAGTCTCATAGCTCCCATCAGTGCAATTTAACTGGTGGGAGGTGTCCGCGGAGCTTAGCTGTTCTCAACTCAACCAGCCTAAGGCATGCTCGGGACAACGTGGCGCAGCACTGGATTTCGCTGGGGCTGCAGCAGTGCAGTTGGTGTTTTAAAAACGTGTTCTTGGAGATGTTGGCCTCCAAGGACCTCTTTCTATTAAAAATCAGACCTAGCCCAGAATAAGTGAGCCCTGGCCCAAGCCAGAGACTGGCTTGATGCAGGAGGGAGTTGGGACAATCTGGTATCCACAACGAATTACCCAGTTTGTGAATAAATCAAGCTGCGGGTGCAGAGTCATCCTGGCACAGGCCCAGCAGGGCATATTTGGGTTTGGGTGCAGTGCTGGGCTCAGGCTGGCTCCACGCAGAGAGCTGATTTCACCCCAGTTCTTCACCCTGATGTTGCCCCTCTCTTGTGCAGACTGTTCTGGGGAGGAGATGGGAGGGCAGGCAGCTCATGCCAACACCTCCCCCAATTCCTGACCCCTCTGGTATGCATTCAGTAGAGTCAGTAGACTACAGGATCCCTCTTTTACCTTGTATGACATGGAAGTGTTAAACCCAGATCTTCTTCCCAGTGTCATACATTCCCTCTTTCGTCCTCCACAGAGACACCGAAACCCTGATAGGGCTACCACGGCCCATCCATGAAAGTGTGAAGACACTGAAGCAGGTAAGATGGTGGCTCCATGCATGGCACTTGGATGAAGCAGCCCAGAAAGCCTTGCTGAGCAGCAGTCGGCTTGTCTAACCTCATCCCTTGCTACTCTTGCTCCCTGGCACTCAGCAGATGCTCTGAGGTGGGATCAGACCCATGGGGATCTCATTGGCCAAGATCACCAGGGCCACAGGGGGATTGCAGGGCATCAAGCCTCATATGCATAAACTTTATGATAAAGCACTTATAACGAGTCTCAAGTTCCTCAGACGCATGCTCTCAGCTCACAGTAAATGTTTCACATGAATTTAGTCTTCTGCCCCTCTTCATCTGATGTACAGCAACACCTTTGGTCCGAGCTCTTGCTCTGTCTGCCTTGGGAAGTCAATCTGATAAAGCCAGTCAAGGTCTGAACAGCTTGAGCGAGGCTGGATATCCACCACATGCAGTGTGGGATCCTCACGTTTCACCTCCAGCTGAAACACAGTTACTGGAGGGAGTAAGAGGGTCCCTTCTTGTTGTCACAGGAAAAGCTACTGGACCTTCTTGCCAGAATTGGGGCAAAAAATGGAAAACTGAGTCTTCACTGAAATTCCAAGTACATTGTCCAGCATTTGGACTTTCCCTTTATCTGAGGTGTAACATTGCTGCGTCCTGGCGAGCATTTGCTGTGCTTTGAAGGTGACAGACTTCCAGAGTTGGGTTTGGACATACATGCCCAAACCTGTGCTGTTCCCGGGGGGGGAAGCATAGCCAGCCTTGGCTTCTGCAGTGCTCCACATGGAGTGAGCCACCTCCAGAGGCCAACTGACCCTATCTAAGGTCTGGATTGCCTTTTAGAGGCTATTGTCCCTCTCCATTTACTTACTCTTTACTTACTAGAAGGAGTAGGTGGAAATAATCAAAGGCATGATTTGTGAGGGTCTTTGGGGACAGAGGGATGTCCCACACAAAGATGCTGCAACCTATGCACCTAACTTGGATATTACTGCAGTCAGTAAATGTTGTCATCACTGACTGAGTTTCATCCTTCAGTTGTGACATTGCTCTGCCTCTGTCTGTGTATTTTGCCAGCACAAGTACGTTTCCATCTCAGACATCCAGATCAAGAACGAGGAGGAGCTGGAGAAGTGCCCCATGTCTCTGGTAAGAAGTTGCTGTACCCCATCACTAGACAGACATATGGAAGATTTCCAAGGTACATAGAAATCCATACGTTCTCCATGTGATCCTTAGGACACACCTTGGGTGCTTTTTTGTAGAAGTCCTTATCTTGACCAAATGTAGCGGTGGAGAAAGGCTTGGAGCTTCCTACAGTCAGCATGCAGCTATGTCCATCATTAAGTCCTCAAGCTGGGTTTAATGGAAGTGACTGACATATCTCAAGTGTCTGGACTGGAAATACTTAATTTTCCCTTGCTTCTAACGTTTCTCTGTGCTAGGGGGAAGAAGAAGTCCAAGAAACCCCTTGTGAGATCTTGTATCGAGCAATGTTGTACAATCTCCCCCAATACATGGTAAGCCCGTGTTTCTTAAAAGTAAAGAAGAGCTTTTGAGTGGGGAATGGTGCCAATCTGTGAGCTGCAGAGTTCAGCATGGAGCTGCTGGGGTGTGTTCAGGCTTTGAATGGTGAGATTTTAGGGTGCTGAGGCCCTGGCAGAGGTTGCCCAGAGAAGCTGTGGCTGCCCCTGGCTCCCTGGCAGTGTTCAAGGCCAGGCTGGAGGGGGCTTTGGGCAACCTGGGCTAGTGGAGGGTGTCCCTGCCCATGGCAGGGGGTTGGAACTAGATGGACTTTAAGGTCCCTTCCAACCCAAACCATTCTATGATTCTGTATGATTCTGTGATTTTGGTGGGAATCCTGAGCAGAGTTGGGTGGAAAGTACAGTCCGAGAGGGCGGATTCAGGGGATCAAGGGGTGTAGATACCCAGGGACGTGGTCAGGTGGTTAGAAAATAGGATGTGTGCAGAGGATTGGGAACAAGGAGCAAAGTCCTCCACATTGGTGGGAGCTCAAAAGTGGCTCCTGTCCTCCTGACACTGAGGGGAAACGGTTGGGGATGGGCCCATGTCATCCCTTGAGCTGCGTGAGCTGTAACATTTACCAACAAGTTGTTGCACACTGATGCAGGCATCTTCACTTCTGACCTTAAGAAGCAACCTACAGACTTCACTAGTCCCTTGAGTCTTTGTTCTTGCTGAGATTAACTTTCCATTACGATATCGTGCTGATCTCTGAGCGTGATGGCTTGCTGGGCCAGGAACCAAACTAAACCGTCATTGTGGCTCAGCAAACAAGGTGTTAATGCCTCCAGGTCTCTGCAACCTGGCTGTGCTCTCAACAGCTATTCAAACTGTGGCGAGTCTGTGGGTTATGACCTTCCTTACGAGGACATCCCTTGCAGCCTTCCCATGGCCCCAAGAGATTCGCAGAGGAATACAGCTACATTGCCAGGTTGGATGGGGCTTTGAGCAACCTGGGCTAGTGGAGGGTGTCCCGGCCCATGGCAGGGGGGGTGGAACCAGATGAGGTTTAAGGTCCCATCCAACCCAAACCATTCTGTGATTCTGTGATTTTATGATGCTAATTTGGTTGTGTGCACTCTGTCCATAGAGAGAGACAGAGATTTAAATGCATTAAGCTCCAGGTGTCCCTTGCATTATTTTATCTATACTATTAGAGCGCAGGTGCTCGTGATGCCTTAAGTTACGGTTAAAACAGAGCTGCCATGCTCCCCACACTTGGCCTAATTTGGTCGTGTGCACTCTGTCCATAGAGAGAGACAAACAGAGATTTAAATGCATTAAGCTCCAGGTGTCCCTTGCATTATTTTATCTATACTATTAGAGCGCAGGTGCTCATGATGCCTTAAGTTAAGGTTAAAACAGAGCTGCCATGCTCCCCACACTTGGCCTGTCTATCTAGGGTATAAAAGGAGAGGTTGAGCCTTGGCATAGCCAGTCCATCATGGTGAGCAGAGCTTGGGCTGCTGAAACCCTATAGACTTGGCTTGAAGTTGTCCAGTTTCAGCACGTGAAGGAGAAAGAAGGAATGTCCCTTCCTGGGAGCATCCCTCCATGCCTGTCCTCCCCTGCAGATAGCTTTGCTGAAGATCCTCCTTGCTGCAGCGCCCACCTCTAAAGCCAAGACCGATTCCATCAACATCCTGGCAGACGTGTTGCCTGAAGAGATGCCGTAAGTCCTTGAGGACGTGGCCACCAGCCATCCCAGCTTTGCTACGAAGTGTTGGGCCAAGCAGGATTGTTGGGGTTTGCTGATAGGTTCGGGGGGGCTCCAGATTTGGGGATGTCTCTTTGGATAGGTGCAAGCTACTGTTGCTGCCGGGCAGAGGGGTGACAGGCAAGGATGTGAATGCCAGTTTTTCAGGAGCATAATAATTCAAGCGTAGTCTGCAGCTGCTGTGCTCTGCTAGCTAAGTGACACAAATCTTAATGTCATGCTAATTGACACAAATCATAAAGACACGTGAGCATATGGTAGGTGTCCTTCACACCGCTCCCCCAGGATTGCTGGTGGAGGGCAATCAGCTTTTTTTCCCCTTTTTTAATGCACTTCGGTGTCACCAGACAGAAGGGGATGGAAATGGGAATCCTGGAGGGAAGCGAACGTCTCTGTTTTCTTTAGAGCCTGTCCAGATGAATAAGAACTCAACAGTCCCTTAGTCCTCCTCGCTCCCACACCCACTGTGCCGTTGCCTTCTTTCCCTCCAACCCAGCATCACCGTTCTTCAGAGCATGAAATTGGGGATTGACGTGAACAGACACAAAGAGATCATTGTGAAGAGCATCTCGGCTTTGCTGTTGCTGCTCCTCAAGCACTTCAAGCTGAACCACATCTACCAGGTGAGCATAGAGAAGGGGTCGGCCATTGCCACACTGCTCTTGAAGCTAGTGTGTCCTGATAGACCCTCTCCTAAAAGACCTCTCCAGGAACAGTTTCCATGAGGAGCTCCTGATCCCTTTTCCATAGCGGTGAACCCTAGCCCCGGGCCAGGATTTGTATAAGGTTACTCAGGCAGGGATAACCTGCCTGCAATATATCTCTGACTGTGTTTTGACAGGCTCGTTTCCACTCATGTGGAAAGAGTTTTCAGACTTCTGGAAAAATTTATGCTGTGGCTGATCAGGTTAAAATTTAGGAGATATCACGAGCACAAGCCTCCCCGGCAGAAGAGGGAAGGGAATGGGGGTTAGACAAGACGCTCTTTTGCTCTGTCTCATCCCCAACGACCAGAAATAGCGCTGGGTAGAACCTCATGAGGTCAACTAATCCAGTCCTCTGTCCTTCGGCAGGATCAAGTTCTTGGGGCTCCAGTTTCAACAGAGCCTGGAGGTCTGGGTCCTAGATGCAATCTGCATTTTGTTTCATCCATGTGACGCCAATCAAGCTGCACCCACATGAGGGCTTTCCTTGATTAAAAAAAGACCGAGGACTGATTTGAGCTGTGGCCGGGGCCCAGTTGTCCACCCATTCTGCAAGTCAAAAAATTTGTGGGTTTTAATTTTTTTATTTTAAAGGTTTCAGCGTGGTACAAATCCACCTGTGTTATGAAGCCCACTGATATTTATCCAAGGATAAATATAAATCCATATATTGGATTGGATAAAATGAAACAAACCCCCACATTTTTACAATCCTACATTTGTTCAGGGTCCCCCCATGTCCCTGCCCTATTTTTTCTCACTTCACCCCCAAAATGGCTTCTCTCATTTCTTCCTCCGTGGCAGGAGGGACACTTGCAGTCTGGTGCTAAGTCTGGAGAAAGCTGTGGGGATCCCCTGCCCCCAATTCTGCTTTTGAGTGAGCCTTCCTAATTCCTTTCGGTGCTGAAGCTGGTCTCAAGGACAACCCCAAAAACCATTGCGAGGGCTGAGCTGATGTTTCCAGCATCGATGGAGGCAGAGGAGGGTAGTGGAGAGCGTGGCTGGTCCAGGCTCTGCTGGGGGTCACCCTGTGCTCACCAGCTGCTGCATCGGTGAAGCAGCAACTGCACAGACCTACACACCAACACAGGTCATGGTTTGTTTGGGTTTTTTTGTCCTGGTTCTGTTGAGATTTGCTATTTCTTATGCCAAGAGAGAAACACCATCAAATTATTGCAGTTCAGCAAGTTAGCATTATCTTCGGTCCGATCCTATATAACGTACCGGTTGCTGGCAGCTGCATTTCAAAGCAGTGAGAGCATCTCAGATCCTGGCTAGCGGGGACTGCTTACTCACTCGCAAATAACGGCGGTGGTGTGTCATCGGTGGCGTACCGAGTGTTGACAGCTTGTACCAGGCTGAGATGAGACGCATAGGAACAAACTGTTTCTTCGCTCTCAAATTTGAGATGTTGATTGCAGGTTAGTGAGAGGCATGGGTGGGATAGGATGGGATAGGATATTGCTGCTATTTGTGTCCATCTCTTCAGAGGACAGTAGATTTGTTGTATTATGCAGCCATACATACCCAGACCATTTAATGTTTAGAGGGGGAGAGAAATTAAAAGCACATATGAAGGTAAGGGTACTTTTATCAGTTGAAATTTGAAAAGAGACTGGGGTTAGTGTGGGACAGCAATAGGAATTATTGCATTTTCTCATGTAGCTACATCTCCTCCTTCCCTCTTCCCTGTATACTGTTTTGCAACAGATTTTTGTCTTGAAAAGCTACACTGGTGTCATTAGGTACAGCTATTCCTAAACTACTGCCATAAAGTTTGTGTGTCCACTCTATGGCAAATAGGAGTTTTCCCGCTGGTGGGAGTTGCTGTGTATGATGCAAACCTTATACAGCAGACTTCTCCAAGGGGAAGATGGTCTGCGAGGTGTCCAGAGCAAACCATCGAGACTGCTTTGCTTTCTGCTGGAAATGGGTTTCCATTCCCAGGTGATGCTCCCAGTTGCTCCAGCTAACGTTGACCCATTTCACTTCTCTTCCTCAGTTTGAGTACGTGTCCCAACATTTGGTGTTTGCCAACTGCATCCCGCTGATCCTGAAGTTCTTCAACCAAAACATCATGTCTTATATCACTGCCAAAAACAGGTACAGCCACTTCTGGGGAAGAGAGAGATGATGGAGCAGGGAGGCTTTGTGCATGAGGAACCCTAACACATGGTGGAACCGAGTGACCTCTTGTCCCAAGCATGGCTTTGGGGCAGTATGTTCTCCACTCCAGGAATACACTGGAGGGGAGCAAATCCCTTCTGCTTAGTGAGGAAGACTGGATGGGGGGTTTCCAATCTCTCGCTGGACGACTAAAATACACACAAACCCATCTTGCTGACAGGAGGCTTGTTTTCATCTTTATGTGGACTCCCGGAAAGCAGTTCAGTGCCACCGGGCATCTGTGGGTGACGGCTTCAAAAAAGCTAGATGGGGTAGAGTCTTCTAGGTCTTTTCCACTTTTTATAGCCGTAATTCAGCTTTCCTGACTTCTTCAGGTTTTGCATAGCTGTCACTGCCTTTTACTTCTGATTTGAGAAAGACGCTAGTCCCGTTTTGAGTCTGTATAGGGACTGGCTGGACTACCGCAAATCAGCATAAGAACTGAAAGAGCGCAGCTCTTTCACAACTCAGTAGGATTGGGTAGGATTTCCCCATTTGGAGGGGAGCGCTGCAGGGGAGGTTACTGTTGGAACGATGCAAAGATCTTTTTTCTTGCTTTTTGATGCTCTTTTTGTTGCTCTTCAGCTGCTTGTGTAGGCTGGCCTGTCTCCTGCATGGTATGGTTGTATACGTGTGAGAAGGCACACATGGAAAACCAGAAAGTAATATGTTAATTCTCTTGCTGTTAAACATTTCCACTTTTGGTCCTGTGCTTTAGAGGCACATAAGTGAGGAGGCAATGTGGCCCTGGAGCACTTAGCTCCCTCCTCTGCTTTCTGATGGAGGTTTCATAGGCAGGATACGCTCCTGGGAAATGAGGTGGGGTTTGGAGCTGGATGCTCTGAGCCAGGGAGGTTTAGCTGTTCTGCCCAGCCCAGGGCCCAGGGTACCGGTCTGTCAGATAGCGGCGAACAATGTCAGGCACTGCCCTGCAAAAAGGATCGTGGTATTTTGTCACATTCAAATGTATGGACCCATTTCCAATGATGCTGCAATGGGAAATATCAGAAGTGAAACCAGTAAATGACAACTTGGGGCAAATGAGCCATGGGGCTCCTGGTCCTGAGCTGGCTCCCTCTGAGCTCTCCCGCTTGTATCTACACGGTGCTTCCAGTTTTAGGGTTATGATGGGTAGGAGCCAGCGAGGAGCATCTGTCCTTGTGGTCAGATAATCCCTTCATGGCCAAACGTTTTAAACAAAGCCTCTTTTAGGGGATCTCCCAACCTTGGGTTTTCATCCTGGATTGCCTCTGACTTGGTGATCGTCACAAGTTAGCTTGATGCTCAGCTGCTGAATTTAAAAACAAAAAATAGCAAACAAGAGGGAACATAAGAACTGAAGCTGTGTGATAGCGCATGCTTCGTGTTGGTGCACTTCTCAGGGCACGGATAGCATCAGTGCATGTATATGTATATATACATTATATATACACACACACACATTCTTTTTTTTTTTAATTGGCTACTTTTACAAAGGCAATAGGTCTGGAGGGCTTAGAAAGACCTAATGCCCTCGTGAATTTTCTTGCTGGTAAGCAGATGTCTCCATTTTAACCTAAGTGCTGTTTTGTTTTGGGTTTTCTTTCCCTTTTTTAAAATATGCATATGAATAACTAATCTGTCATGTCTTAATGGATCCAAATCCTTCGAGTCCTTATTAATGCACTCAGGATGCACTTCAGAGCCAAGAGGAATCGACGTGCTCCATTAAGCTGAGACGCGAGGCAGCGGTGAGGCTGGGAGCCCACTTGGATGCCGTCTGTGCAGTTGGAAACGCAGGAAGGAGGCACGTCCGTGCGGGACCGGCTGCGGGCTGGTTCACGTGCCCAGCGTGGCTCGGTAGAAGACGGGATTGCTACCCCATCCAAACTACTTGCTGCATAAGGCAGCGCTGCCATTGCAATTCAAACCCCAGGCACAGGGAAGGAAGACGTTACAGATTGCTGGGCATAATCACGTAGATCATCTTAAAAGATTGTTTTCCTATTTACCTGGTTTTTAATGAGTCCCTTCTTTCCTGCCTTCCACAGCATCTCCGTCCTGGATTATCCGCATTGTACAGTCTGTGATTTGCCCGAGCTCACTGCAGAAAGCCTGGTAAGCAGCACAGAAAGGATCCTTGTAACCAGTATTGCTGTATGCAAGAGGGTGAGGGAGGATTTTTGTTTTCTTTTTTCTACCTTCTTTTTCCCAACCTTTCCAAAATTAGACTTTTTTTTTTTCCCCCTCCAGACTTGAAAATTCCCCCCATTGCTATTCTGACTTGTTATCAGCTATGGGGAGGTGGGAAGGAGGCACTGCTGGCCTTATGCACCTCTTTATGGAATACTTGGGTTTAGAGTTTTCCCTTTCACTTCTCCAAATGGGAGAGCCTGATTTTAAAAAAGGATTTGCCCAGAGGCCATTGCCTCCCAGGTTTAAATAGCTCTGAGCACTCGTGTTTCATAAGATGCTGGCAGATTAAGGAATGAACCGAATTCCCTATGGAGAGGAGCCTAAGTATTATGGAGACTGGCCAGCGCAACAGGCTGTGTGAATAGACGTACTACAGATGAGACGTTAATTCTGGCAGGTTCATAACTGCAACAATTCAAACGCAGAGTAGGTTGGACTCAGACAGGGTGCAGAGCAGGGATGAGCTTTGGGGTTAACAGGGAGGTGGATCAGAGAGAAGGGAGACCCTAAATAATGCAGGAATCGTTAAGGAGCCTGACCAAAACCAGTCTGGGCAGGGATGATCTCATGTTGCCTGGCTGCTACAGTCTTAAGCCTATGTCCTTTTCCTTAGTTTTGTAAAGGTTAAAATCATTAAAATAAAGTGATTTTCCCTAGTTTCTATGAGCCAAAGTTGCTCATGAATCCCTCCATGGCAGTGGTCCATCGCATTTTTGATGTGCCGCTGTGATGCAAACTTCTGCCATGAGTTGATTGTGCCAGATCAAATTTAGATAAAAACCTGCTGTAGAGCGCGTGCAGGTGGGTCTGGGATCGTCCTGTGTCCTCTGCCACTGTCCCGTGTGCCTTTCCACCAGCGCTTCTTGCCTCCTTTTGGGTGCCTGCTCGGGGTGACAGCTCCTGGACACCGTCCCCCTCCTTAGGAACGGGATCAGACCCGTGTTTTCTGCTGGCCCATGTGTCCTGGGCAGGCTGGGTGCCCGTCCAGCCCTGCCAGGCTCCCACCGATCGCATCCTGGCCCGATGGGGACATCTAGCGACACTTCGCTGAGCATTCCCCCCGGCTCATGCTAATCCTTACGCTCACGCTAAGTTTTATGGCTGTAGGAGAAGCCTGAACTTTTTTAGGGAAAATAATCCCAGTTACCCTTTCCCAGTAGGGTCTAATCCCCAGTTTGGGAGCTGTTGCATTAAACGACAGTGCCTCATCACTTTCCTCCAGCAGACATGGATGTTAGCCTCACGGGAGACTAATTTAGTTAGAAAATACGCAGAAACCAACTTGAATTTTACCATGTGTGTTCATCTTTGGGAGGATACCCCTGAATGTAAGGATTTAATGGAAATTAAACATGCCCTGGTACTTGAGGCATATACTTGTGCATGTATTTAAGTTTCTTCAGCCAACATTTCATGCATTGTTTTAGCTTTTTTTTTTTTTTTAATACTCTGATGCACCGATTTTAACATCCCAGCCATAACACGTCTTAGCAGATATAACAGATGATTATGCTTTCAGTGGGTTGAACACAGGATCATGTGTGTTTGGTTTACTTCCATGGAAAACCAGGACAGGTTCAGCATTGCAGTCTTGAGAGGAGAAACCCTTTGGCTGTGGGGTAACTGCTGTCCCCACATGGTGTAAATCAGCTTATTTGGAAAAACTACTAACTGTCCTCCCGAGGATGCCCAGAACCTGGATCGTGCATCAGGCTGCAGTTTTTGCCATGAGTTGTTAAGGCTGTAGCTTGCTGTAAGTGGCTTATAAATTAAGCAGCACTTGTTTCCGCTCTCATCCCCAAATAGGTTATTTGTGGGACACTTCTGCTGTGCTCAGTCTGTTCAAACATAAAGCAAGTTACTGTAGTGGTGGAATTACTGCTCAAATGTGCCACAGGCAATATTTATGCAAGCTGGAGCTGGAGGCGCTTACATTTAGCTAATACTTAAAATAATATATTGGCTGCACTTAAGCTGGAGGGGATCTTTGTTACAGAAAAGTCTTGTCGTCTTGATACAGATGCTGCTGTTTGTCAACCTGCGTTGTTATGTGATTTCCTTTTTTCATCTGTAATATGTCTTCTAAGCATGTGGTAATCTATGAATTAATTTATGTAATTAACAAAAACTGTTCTCTGAGCAGTGATGATCACTAGGTTGTAATTTGCTCTCTGACTGTAAACCACAAATACAAATCTACCACAATATCTATTTCCCATGACGGAACGATGTGATTTATCTTAGCTCTTACTCTAAACCTAAATGCAAGTTAAAACACTGATTACATCTGAGTCTTTCAGCATGGTTTTCCCCAGAATCTGCCAGCTTCTCAGCAGCACGATGACAACCCAAGTGAGGAGGCAGCGCTGCTGCTCACTCTCCATCAGAAATAAGACTTGTGCAGATAGTAAAAATAAAGACTTTCTGCGCAAGGATATCTCTATGGCAGTGCTGTTGAATGCTGCCATTAGGGTTACGTTTTGCCTTCTCTGCTTTGCAGGAAGCTGGAGACAACAACCAGTTCTGCTGGAGAAATTTATTCTCCTGCATTAACTTGCTGAGGATCCTCAACAAGCTGACCAAGTGGAAACACTCGAGGACAATGGTAAGCTGATGTCCCGTCTCCCTAAGACCTGCCATGGGTTGCCGGTGTTGCACCTCAAGTGTGTCCGCGGCTCTACGCTGCCCGACTTCAGCCCAGCCTTCCTGCTAAGAGTTTCTTCTGGCAGTGTTGGAGCTTCTGCTTCTTCATAATCTGCCCATTTTTCTTTCACAGATTGAGTCTTATTAAATGAAGAAATACTTTTTCTTTTGCAAATGCTACTTAATTCTATGACCCTCAAGCCCCCCGCAAGCAAGTGTTGGTTATGTTGAACACTCCTGTTCTACCTGCCTGGGGTTTGGACCGTACGTGGCCCAGGTGTTCATGCCCACAGCTGCGCAGACAGTACTTGTGTGGCTGGAACGCGTTGCATTGATTTGTGTTGATTTCTTGACAGATGCTGGTAGTCTTTAAGTCAGCCCCAATACTGAAACGAGCTCTGAAGGTGAAGCAGGCCATGATGCAGCTTTATGTCCTCAAACTTCTGAAAATTCAGACCAAATACCTGGGGCGCCAGTGGAGAAAGAGCAACATGAAAACCATGTCTGCCATTTACCAGAAAGTGCGACACCGCATGAACGATGACTGGGCTTACGGCAACGGTGAGTAGTGCCAGGGAAGCGTTCTCGCCGTGGAGAGCTGAAATTGGCACACAGGGGGTTTGACACAGTTTGGCCTGTGACCTGTTAGGATCCCATAAACTGATTTGGGTCGGTATTGGGGATTTTTTCAGAAGTTTTATGGCACCATTGAGCACCGTCAGGAGGGAACAAATTGATTGCATGAAGAAAGGTGGGAATAATCAGATCAGGATGGGACATGGTCAGCTTGGGTCTCCAAGATGAGAGTTTCCACCAAGCCCAGGCCTGCACTTTTGCATTCTCAAATCGCTTTTGCCATTGAGCCATTAAACCACATCTGCACCAAATGTGTGTGCTTAGGGTGGCTGTGGAGTGAAAATCTGACTGACTCTGCAGGTCACACCTGAGAGACAACAGCAGTTACATCCCAGCAGTGCAGATACTCTGAATCCTTAAGCTGAAGCACAGAGTAGATGTGTTGGTCTGTTTAAACAGCTCTTACGCAGTCTAAATCTGTAACTTCTGAGGGATGTTAGATGTAACTTCTAGAGGGAAGGGATGCCACCCAGAGGGACC